TATTCATATGCCTCAAACCACATTTATGTCTTTACAAAAGAGATTGCTTTATTCTGTTTAAAATTGTCCTTAGATGTTTGTATACATTACAGTCCTTTTCATATAGATGGATAGGTTACATCTATACTGAACCATAACTACATATTGTCAATTGCCCACTAAAGCACAACAGGCCTGTGAATTCACAATCCAGACCCCTGATGCTTGAGCATAATGGTGTATCTTATTGCAACTTTTCTCTAAACCTCCTTTCAGGTATAAAATTTGTACAACTCCCCCCTGCACACACCCCTTTAAAACCTGTAGTACTCCAGATGGCAAGTATTTTTCTACAATAAAAGGGTAGGTCTTTCTGCAGTGTTTCAACCTTGCTTCCGTTGTGGCTTTTCGTTTGTTTTTAATTTGTGATTTTTCTTCGAATGGCATTGCACTCAATTAGACCCCAATTAAATTGAGTAGAGGAAATGAATTGTTGCACCTCCAAGGTATTGTAAGGCCTAAATAAGCAAAAGCATGGCAAAAAACTACACCCTTATTATTTAACAATAACATAGTTGTTCTGTGTTGATTCAACATCTAAAGCAAGGAAGATGCAGAACATCTATTATTGTATCTAGTCCCTTCATTCACAAAAAGAAAAACCCCACCCCACCCTCCCACTATATGTAAAGGTCTGGTGACTTTGTTTCAGTGTATCTGAAGAACTGTGCATGCACACAAAAGCTTATACCCAGAACAAACTTAGTTGGTCTCCAAGGTGCTACTGGGCAATTTTTTTATTTATTTACAAAAAGAGCAGTGATTGTGTGGCAGCTTCCATGGCAGGAAGAAGAGAAACAATTTTAGCAGATCCCTCCAGTCTGAAGCACCAACTTCTAGGGGCCAGAGATGCTTGTACGGGAAAGGAGACATTGGCAATAAAATCCCCCCCCCCCTTCAGTATGAGCATCCATTGAGAAGAGTTTCTTTCATTGGAACTTTAAATTTAAAAATACAGTAGTCATGAAAACCACCATGGTGTTTAGCATGATGGGATGTTGTCTTCAAATGGCATTTTTAGAAACAAGCTGAGATAGGCAGGCAGGCACACACACTTCCTTCTCTGACTGGTCACTTTGCCTCCTGGTTCAGGTAGGTAGCCATGTTGGTCTGATGCAGTCAAAATAATAATGATGATGATGATGATGTCCAGTAGCACCTTAGGTAAAGGTAAAGGGACCCCTGACAATCACGTCCAGTCGTGACCAACTCTGGGGTTGTGGCGCTCATCTCGCTTTATTGGCCGAGGGAGCTGGTGTACAGCTTCCGGGTCATGTGGCCAGCATGACTAAGCCGCTTCTGGTGAACCAGGGCAGCACATGGAAATGCCATTTACCTTCCTTCCAGAGAGGTACCTATTTATCTACTTGCATTTTGACATGCTTTCGAACTGCTAGGTTGGCAGGAGCAGAGACTGAGCAATGGGAGCGCACCCCATCACGGGGATTCGAACCACCGACCTTCTGATCGGCAAGTCCTAGGCTCTGTGGTTTAACCCACAGCTCCACCTGCGTCCCTGTATAAGCTATTTCCCTCTTTACTCCCTGGTCATTCTGCTCTATAGTTTGATTAATCCAAACTACCTGGATTGTAGAATGAGCAACCTCCCATTTATTCCAAAGTGCCTGAACTAGCTTATATTCATGTACTTTAGCTTAACTGGTTTGTGGATGAGACAAGTGATGTTTCCCTGCAAATCCCAGAAGCAGATAGACCCTACAGAAAAAGCCATTAACAAGGATTTTGGATCAGTCTGGCAAGGAACAGATCGGTGATGAAGCCAAAAGTGTGTGACTTGCCAACCTAGTCTGTAATCCCAAACAATGCCTTCTCTAGAGGGCCTTGTTGCTATAGTAGGTCACTGATCTGTTAAAATTTGGCTTTTCCTTTGTTGCATGAAACTATCCTGATGCTCTAATTAACTTCTGAGCAATTGTACGGTGTGTTCCACGTTCTTGCAACATGTAGCATGGTATGGTACATGCTTTCCTAAATGGGTTCCCCCATTCTGGTTTGTCTTTGGATCAATTATCATAACTTTGGGGATAGTGGTTAAGTCAAAAGAGATTAATCCCTATTGCTTTTTCTTTTCATTACTAAATTGCAGAAAATGCGCCTTATAGTTGCATTGGGACATGAAAAATAAACCTGAGTATGAATCGGGCTGCATACATACTCCCCTTTCCTTTGGCTCCAGTGTGCTCTCACTGCTGGTGTTCAAAGCCAGATACACACGACGCTAGCCACAGCTCAGGCCTTTGTCCTTTATGAAGACCCTCCATGTGTCCCTATTTTCGACGGACAGTCCCAGTTTTATGGAAGCTGTCCCAGCTTCTGATTTGATCCCAGAATGTCCCTTTATTCATTACACACCTTTAGGAGCCAGGCAAAAATGATCCTTTTTAACCAGGCCTCTGGCTGATCTGATTGACACCCCACAGCCTTTTAAAATGTGGCTCTTTTGGGAAGGGGGTGTTACTGAGTTGTTATTTTTCTTCTGATTATATATATTGTGTTTTTTATGTTGATCTTTTCTGTGACCACCCTGAGACCTCTGGGTAGAAGGCAGCCCTGGATAGGGAAGTTTTTTTCAATGTTTAATGTTTTCTTATTTTTTATATATGTTGGAAGTCACCCAGAGTGGCTGTGGCAAATTATCATTATTATTATGGTATAGGACGTCCTTATTTTCATCAGAGAAATGTTGGAGGGTATGTTTTATGCCTGACATGTACATGGTGAATGCCAGGCAGCAGGGCTGTCGTGAACACATTAGGCTCACAAACCAAATTAGGTTCACAAGCCAGGAGGGAATACCATAATTTGCTTCAAATCCTTTCCTATGGAGGCAGAGACTGTGGCTGTAAACATGCCCTGGAGACTGGAGAGGTGCGTCCCTAGACCAAATGTTTACAGAACACCACCTACCCCTTACTTCTGGAATTTGGCTAATCAGGTTGCATATTTTCTATTTGTTATATTGAATCAGTGTTACATTTACTACCAGTTCATTGATTCTCAAATCTTTATGGGTGTGGAGGCAACAAGCCTTTCTATGTTTTCTTTTTTCTGTTTCTGCCTTGAAATAAGAATAAAACACTTGAGCCCAGAAAAGGGGAGTATGTAAAAGCTTAAGGTAAAGTTTACTGAGGTAGCTTGGTGTGAAAACCTTGTAAATGTATTGAATTTAATTAATACAATATTTAATGAAGAGATTTGCCATTATAAAATGGGAATGGGCTTAGCCTCTCTCTCTCTTTTTTTTTTTGTAAATTGGGGCTTTAAAAAAATCACCCCATGAGATACAATTGAATGCAGATGATTATAATAAGTATAGGAGCATGTATTTCAATAATTAAAGCCATGATTTCACCAAGTGCTTCTTTGCCTGCTGTGCGAGATTAGAAATGTTAGATGTTTACAGAGTCACTGAAGCAGTTTCTTCTGTAGCGATGGCTGTTATAACTATTCAGGGAAAAAATAAGATAATAATACCTGATGAAGTTATTACTCATTTTATTTATTTGTTTCCTTAAATGGCAGCCACTTAAGAAGCTTGACTGTATATGAAATCAATAATAAGTAGGAAATGGCTGTGTATCCTTGAAAAAGCCTGCCAGAAGCCTCATAAGTTTCCGTTCTATGAACCTGAAAACGAGAAGTTTGAATCCTTATGGAATGTATTGGATAGCTTTCATTCTGTTATGATTAGGGCAGAGATTAATATTTATCATTCACCAACGGTTTTCCAAAGAGGCAAGACTGGAAGCATCCAAGCATCTATAAGCTTTTCTAGAGCATATACTGCTATCACACGATGAAATGGTGGACACCAAATTGAAAGGCTTTGGCGCTGTGGTCTAAACCACTGAGCCTAGGGCTTGCCAATCAGAAGGTCAGCAGTTCAAATCCCCACGACAGGGTGAGCTCCCGTTGCTCAGTCCCTGCTCCTGCCAACCTAGCAGTTTGAAAGCACATCAAAGTGCAAGTAGATAAATAGGTACCGCTCCGGCAGGAAGGTAAACGCCGTTTCCGTGCACTGCTCTGGTTCGCCAGAAGCGGCTTAGTCATGCTGGCCACATGACCCGGAAGCTGTACGCCGGCTTCCTCGGCCAGTAAAGCGAGATGAGCGCTGCAACCCCAGAGTCGGCCATGACTGGACCTAACAGTCAGGGGCCCCTTTACCTTTACCTTTAAAGGGAGCTTAGATAAGAGGATTCATGGAGGCAGCCAGTGTGGTGAAGTGGCTCATGTTGGACTTGGACTAGGGAGACCAGGGTTCAAATTCTCATTCAACTATGAAGCTCTTTGGGTGACCTTGAGCCAGTCACTCTCTTTCTCAGCCTCTCTAACCTCACAGGGTGAAATATGAGGGTAAAATGATGAGGGGTACAACCATGTGTGCCACCTTGAGGTCCTTGGAGGATAAACTGGATGTCTATGTATTGAATAAATAAGGCTATCTGCAGCTACTAATCATGATGATTATATGACCCCCACCTCAACAGACTCCAGCATTAGAGTGATATGCCTCTGAGTACCAATTGCTGGGGACCACAGCCAGGAGAGTACTAATAGCACTCTTGCTTGTGGGCTTCCTGTGGGCATCTGACTACCCACTATGAGAACAAAATGCTGGACTAGACAGACCTTTTCTCTGGTCTAGCAGGGCTTAAGCTGGATCTAGACACATCAAAAAATGTTTCAGTTAAATGCATTGTGAACTTTGTATGAGAAATTCGGTTGGCAAAAACGGGACTTCACATCTGGTGCCACAGTGTTATAATGTAAATGCAACGCATATAATGCACTTTTTCTTTGTCAATGTAGCTGAACCCTTAGAGGTTTAGCCACAACCCAATCACATTAATGGGGAGAGAATGAGATACTTATCTTTAGATTTGTATAGTTGAAAGGTGCTACAAAGGTTACCCAGTCCAATCCCTGCAACGCATGAATCTTCTGGCCAAATGGGGCTCAAACCCATGACTGAGATTAAGTTTCTCATACTCTGCCAACTGAGCTATCCTCAGTCTTTACTTAAAAGCACCATGGAAAGCATGCGTTTCCTTTCACCAATGGGAATGTTGATATGTATATAGCATATAAGGACTGCATTGTTATTATTTGCAAAAAAAATTCTTCAGTAGTATTTTCTATTTAAGATAAGCAACACACTTTAACAATTCCTGCTATCATAGATCCATCCATTTGTCTAGGCCTTGCCATCACTACTGATAACTGAAATGCTACCCATGACCACCTTAGTTTGTTTCTCTCCTACTTTTTTTTTTTTAAAAAAAAAAATCACTTCTTCCACCTATTTGGGGAATGTTGCTTTGTGTCTATAGCTCAGCCACCTGATCTACTCTCTGTCCCCTTCCTGTGCTCACTATATTCTTGTTGTGTGGACAGAGCTAAGGTGAGAAGTTCTGGTTCCCAACGAGTCCCATTAGACATTCATCCCAAGTTAGCAGGATCTTCAGTTAGCACACACTGATTAAAATATTTTGGGCTGAAGAAAAGAAGGATCATTCCAAAGGGTCATTAGGCCACCTCCTCTTTTCACAGTGGCAATGCAGATATTTATGAGAAGCTTGCAAGCAGGAGATGAGTGCAAAACCACTCTCCTCACTCACGTTCCCTAGCAACTGGCAATCGGAGGAATATCACCTCTGATACTGGAGGCAGTACACAGCCACCATGGCTATTAGCAATTGATTGATTCCTCCTCCCTGAATTTGTCTAGCCCCTTTAAAACCCATTCAAATTGAGGAAGAGAGAGAGAAATGTCAATATGCATCCCATCACCAGAGAAGGGAAAGCCCTGGAATATATATGTGTTTGTGGTTGTTGATTTTTTGCTCCACCCCATTTTTTTTTATTTGAAGGTAGGAGGAGTTTATTGAGCATGCAATAAATATGTTTTCACAGCGGGATGGGATGTTGGGGAGAAAGACTGTGTAGAAACTGTGTTTGAGGAGATTAATTTCTGGACTAGAAATATTTGGGCAGTGGGCCACCCAATGAGTTTTTGATCAATTAGGCACATAGATGGAACCTTTTCAGCACACATTGACTGTCAGATTATGCTGCTTAATTGTAGTTGTGGGATTTGTAAGTGCAATTAATTAGTATAGGTTTACTGTTTCATTTCTGAAAACTGGTTTCTTGCTTTCCATACAAATTTATCAGATCAAGCCAAAACATGCATCTGTTGATACAGATTCTTAATTCGAATAATCACATAAATATGGGCATATTGTTTTTAAAAAGTGGGGGAAAGAAAAGGAACATATAAAAGGTTCTTTGTGGGCCTAGAGACCCAGGTCTTTGTGCCCCTCCCACACACCGCAGAGGTTAATTTTGACACAGGAGTCACCCACCTGTCAATCATCTGACAAGACAGTCCTGCCCACCTGTCCTGCCCATGGGGTAGGGGAGAACATGTTAGCTTTGCCAGCATGTTCCCTGCAGGATGTGCACTGGCAAAGCAGCGCCCAGCAGGATTGAACCCCTTCATCAGTCAGCTGAAGGACATGTGGTCATGGTTGAGAGAAATGGCCTTTGGGGCTAGATTGGACCCCCGGCATGCCAAGATTAGCCCATGGGCCAGAGATTCCCCACTCCTGCTTTAAACTGTAGACTCTACAGCACCATGATGGTAAAGTACCAGTGGGGCCCTTCAGATGGGCATCCGTTTCCATTGTCCTGGCTTGGAATGATGCGAGGCTGGAGTTCAACAACTTCTATTGAATCATGGTTTCTCCATTCCTGGTGGACTTATATTGCTATTTTTGCTTTCATCCATTAATACCCTGCCTATCTTCCTTCATGGAACCCATGGGAGCAAACTTGTAGTTTCTAGGTAGTCATTCATCCAGACACTGACTAGGCAAAGGCCTGCTTAATGTCAGCTACATGGCAGTCGCAGCTGCCTTTGTAGCACTCCCTACCCTATACCCTTCTAATACTACGAGTAGTAGTAATATTTCCTGACTACATGTTAATTTCAGTTACGTTTTTGGCAACAGTTGCCAATGAAGTGGTTGTCTAGTATAAATTATTGGCCCTAGATGAAAGGTCATGGTGGGAACAGGGGGCAACACTATACAAATATATGGTTACTGATTGGCTAGTCCAGGCATAGGCAAACTTGGCCCTCCAGATGTTTTGAGACTACAGTTCCCATCATCCCTGACCACTGGTCCTGTTAGCTAAGGATCATGGGAGTTGTAGTCCCAAAACATCTGGAGGGCCAAGTTTGCCTATGCCTGGGCTAGTCCGACTACCCTGGGCTCCAGCTGCTAGCAACCATGAGGGTGCAACCATGCAATACATACTGCTGTATCAGCATGTCCCTACCACCATCTTCTGCCTGCCTCTGGTAAGGACAGGGACTCCCAAGCCCACTCAATTGTCTTGCATCAATGACCTTGTAAGCTTGTATTCCCATTTAATAGAAGGGGATGAGAGGCTAGAAGAGCAATAGTATCTTAGATAGTATGGTATAATTCACTGCCCCACCTCAGAACACACACCTTTTAAAAAAAAATGCCCCAAAGGGCCAAGAACAGTCCTTAAAATAAGCCTGATAGGTAGAAATCTGTAGGTGAAGTTTTTATTGGCATGGAGCTAAACATATTGCTGATGATACAAAGGTTGGCACAGTGAATGAGAAGTGATGATAGCAATTGTCAAATAACGAAAGGGCTGTTAAATAGAAGATGGAGCAAGCTTGTTTTCTGCTGTCCCAGAGTGTAGGACCTGAACCAATGGATTTAAATTACAATAAATGAGATTTTGGCTAACTAATTAGGAAGAACTATCTGGCACTAAGAGCTGTTTGACAGGGAAAACACCAACTAGGAAGGTGGTGGGTTCTCCTTTATGGGAGGTTTTTAAACAGAGGTTGGGTGGCCATTTGTCAGGGATTCTTTAGCTGTGATTTCTGCAGTGCATAGGGTTTGGCTAGATGAACTTTTGGCTCCTTTTTGACTCTACAGTTCTGTGATTCTATAATTCTGTGATTAGGCTGTGGAGGCTAACACTGTATTTTTAATTTTTTTATATATTTTAAATCCAACACTGGCTACTAATTGTATAGACCAGTATTCGTCTCTCCAAATTCAGAGCTGGAACCAAATCTGCCCATGCAGTTTTACCTAAACCTCTGGAAAAGAGTGGATATGTTGACAGGTGCTGCCTCAACAAAGCAAAAACAACTCAGCTTGAGATTCAGCAAAGCAGGTGATTCCTGCTGAGTTATAAATTGAAAAACCAAATTGTTCTGACCTGCTTAACTTAACAAAGAAAACAAGGAAAAGTGAATATTACATCATAGCAGTTTCTACTTGGTTTACCAAGATGGAACCCTTAACTTATTGCCCTCTCCTTGTACTCGTTTCTAGAGTTTTCAGTATTTGCTGTCAGTTTCTGTATTTGGAATCACCCACAGAGGTCTCTTCTCCTAATGAGCAGAGAGCAAATTTAGCCTATATAGTGACTTAAATTAAACCACAAACGACTGATGAAAAAGCCCAGTCTAGCTTTAGTTCTGTGTCTCACCCCAAAGCCACTGGGAATACAGAGCAGGGTGTTGTAAAGCAGGCTTTTGTCTCATCTCAGGGAAGACAAACTGGGCATTTGACTTAATCATCAGCTACTACTTGTTACAACAGAAGCAAGGAGGAAAGGTGAAAGAGAAACTAAACTCCCAACTCAGGAAGCTGCCACAACCCAGTGCTGCCCTGCTTCAGGTATTAAAGGCTGTTGTTTACTTATTCCAACACAGGGATGTGGTGAAAACTCATAGCATGATGACTCAAATATATATGTTACTTCCAATTGTTAGGGCAAGGAAGTGGATCAGTAGAATAAGGTTACTGTTATTTAAACCTGTGGAAAATCCAGCCACATATAGCCAACATGCTTAAGTCTAATTAATGCATGAAGGGGTTAATGCCATAGAGTAAACTGTCCTGCCAGGCTTAGGTAGGCCACTCCCCCACCTTGAGAGGAAGGTACTCAAGGCTTTTATTCACCTGCAGTCTACCCAAGAGGCTCAACGTGTTATTAGCTACAACTCCCATTTTCCCTGACTATATTGAGTAGGGCTGATAGAAGCTTGGAGTTAAATAATATCTGAAGGCCCACATCTCTGCCCTAGTTAGTGGGTGTAAAATGATAGCCATAGGATTTGGGGAATACAATCTATGATGTTTCAGTCATATGACTGGAGGTTAATACTTGAATATGCAACATTTCTAAACAGCCAGCATGAAAATAGCCTTTGTGAAACTTCTACTTGAAAACCTCCTTAAAATACTACAATGCATTTAATTTATTTATAGAAACAAATTATTTATCATTCATAGTGCCATAAATAGTAACTACTATATCTGAGGACAAGAATGCTACCGTTAGTCATTTCCCCACATTTTTCACTCAGTGATAGTAATGCTTTGTGAAGTAGAGTAGATTCATATATCATGTCTGACTAATCTATTGTTGGGAAAAGTTACAATAGCAAAAATTAAATGCCATTTCAATCCAGCACCACAGCTATCACCAACCTATCCAATGTTTCCAAAGCTGAGCAATATTTCTTCTTCCAAGGATGTCAGAATGATATTGCAGTCATCAAATCAATTGATTTATTGCATTAGCCAAAGGCCATAACATTTAATGATAAGAAAATATAAAAACAGTTAAGCTTCAGATACAGCAATGAATGTACCCATTAACTACAGCTCATTCTCCTTAATAAAATTAAGTCTGATGCTTGCAGCTACAAGTGCAAAAGAAGAAACTTTCTCAGTAATACTTACATTTTCAATGGAATAGAGTATCTGAGCTATTTAAAATGTCAGGACATACATCAGACTTGTATTATGTGTGATGTAAAGGTCATCAGTTTCTCTGTTTGCAAGCAACAATTGGAGTGGGTTGTTGTTTTTTCAATTCTCTATGTAGTAGAATATTGTTACAGTGGCAGAGAGTATCTTAGAAAATGCTCTTCTTAGAAATGTTG